CTAGGTAACTTCGCGTTGCTTTTAGAAGAGTATTGTCTGAATAGACAACAGTTACCTTGTGATTCTTCACCGAGCTGCATTTTTCAAGTTGAAAAATCGGGTGCTGAAAGTGATGGATCTATAGATTTGTGAGAATTTGCTGCTGCTTCAACTTCTTTTTGTAATAACAATAACAGTCTATATGAAATTTAACAATTCTGTTTCTTCTTTGATTTTGAGTCACCCTGTAAATGTAGCTCTACTAAACTATCGGACCGCATTCATAGCCTACAAGAGAAAAAAATCTTCTATACTGGAAAGGAGGAAAAAAAGAATGTATCAACCTGATACATCTGCCCCTCTTTATAACCCGTGAAATAGCCCTAGTTCTAATTAAATTTCAGTTCAAGCTTCCAAAATGACTTCCAACAATATTAAAGTAGCCACAAAGATCAGACCAATGATCCACCGCGAAGTAGCCGATGGTCTAGAGCGTCTTTGGAACGTAAGAGTAAACTGCATATGGGAAGCCGATGAAAGTAGTCGCCATGGAGAGGTTTATATATTCGACCATGTATTTAATCAGGAATGTACAAATTCAGATGTATATGGATCTGTAGTAAAACCTTTAGTCGATTCCTTCATGGAAGGTTTCAATGCCACAATATTTGCATATGGCCAAACATCTTCTGGCAAAACACACACCATTTTGGGCAATAAAACAGATCCTGGGCTTTTCCAATTAGTATCCAATCAGTTATTCCAGCATGTGGCAGACCAGGTTGATAAGAGGTACTTGATTAGATGCAGTTATATTGAAATCTACAATGAAAAGATCAATGACCTCCTGGATAAGAGCAATCAGGGTTTAACTATGAGAAGATATCAAAGGAAATGTGCTGCTTGATGCAAGGGAAGCTGTCGTAGACAATGTTGATAAAGTTATGGAGAACATGATGCAGGGCAATAAGATCAGACGAGTTGCAGCTACTCGCATGAATGAGAGGTCATCTCGATCACACACGATTTTCCGGATTATTCTGGAGTCGAAAGATGCCAATCAGAAAGATGGACCTGTACATATAAGCTACCTTAACTTAATGGACTTAGCTGGTTCTGAGAGAGTTTCTCTGACGAAAGCTGCTGGTGAGCGTCTTAAAGAGGGGGCTAACATAAACAAATCTTTGTCAGTATTAGGAAATGTGATAAGGCAACTAAGCGAGGGGAAGGAGTTTATCAGTTATCGCGATTCGAAATTGACTAGACTGCTCTCACAGGCTCTTGGCGGTAATGCCAAATCATTGATTATCGGGAATGTTACTTTAGCTGCAGAGGAGGAGACTAGATCTACACCAGAATTCGCCCAAAGCACTAAAACTGTCAAAAATAAAACGAAAGTAAACATCTTGTCAGCTACAGAAGAGACACTTCAAGGATATCAGAACTTGACTCGCGATCTCGAAACTCGGCTCAAAAAGCAGGCAATTAAGCTAAAAGAGATGGATAAAAGCAAACAAGAGTATCTGCTCGAGATAGAAAGACTAAAAACGGAAGTATCTATTGTCGGGCGCTTTCAAATGGGAGCCACGGCATCAACACCGAAAAAAACATTAAGACGTCATACTTTTGGACACTATGGCAACGTATCACCTAAAAAAGCATCCCTAGGGTATATGCCATTGAAAAATTATCCACCCAAAGAAGAATCATCCGGACGTGAAATGAGGCCTATTCAAGAAGAGACATATGAGGAGGCACTAGCCGAAGCAGAATCTGTGATAGCTGAAGACGTGCAAGTGTACTTAAAAGACAACGCAAAGAACTGGAAGAATCTTTCAATGAGCTTAGAGAATTCACTAAACTAGATAATCAGCTGGAGATTTTGGACCTGAAGAAACAGCTCACAGAAGCCAATTCTAAAATCGATCGTTACAGTCAGGAACTCCGCCAAGTAACGGATGCGTACAACGAAGAAATAGAAAGAGTTCAAAAAAATTCTCAAAAAGCGCAAGAATTTCATCGACTTGCAATACAGACTCGATTTTCTGGAAAAAAAATAATAAAAAGACTAAAAACATACGAGTCAGAAATAGAGATGCTGCGTACTCAACTGAAGAACCTAGGAAGATCAGAGAGCCCTAAACCATCTCTTGAAGCTCAAAATATTGAGTCAAAAAAGAAGGTTGCAGACTTAGAAGCTATGCTTGACGCTGAGTACGAAGATATGCAAGATTCTTTAAGTGCTGCTACACAAACTGATGTAACGATGTCACACATTGCTGAACTGCAAGATGAAATTGGCTTCCTAAAAGAACTTGAATCTAAACTGAGAAATGACGTAAAGAGTCTGATGGACGAGAGTAACCAACGTGAGGTCAACCACTCATTTAAAATCTCAGATATACGATGCCATAATGATTCTACTATAAAAGAGCTTCAGGATCAAATGGCTGAACTGGAATGCCAAAACGAAATCTGGATTATGAAAAGTGCCCCTCTTTATAACCCGTGAAATAGCCCTAGTTCTAATTAAATTTCAGTTCAAGCTTCCAAAATGACTTCCGACAATATTAAAGTAGCCACAAAGATCAGACCAATGATCCACCGCGAAGTAGCCGATGGTCTAGAGCGTCTTTGGAACGTAAGAGTAAACTGCATATGGGAAGCCGATGAAAGTAGTCGCCATGGAGAGGTTTATATATTCGACCATGTATTTAAGCAGGAATGTACAAATTCAGATGTATATGGATCTGTAGTAAAACCTTTAGTCGATTCCTTCATGGAAGGTTTCAATGCCACAATATTTGCATATGGCCAAACATCTTCTGGCAAAACACACACCATTTTGGGCAATAAAACAGATCCTGGGCTTTTCCAATTAGTATCCAATCAGTTATTCCAGCATGTGGCAGACCAGGTTGATAAGAGGTACTTGATTAGATGCAGTTATATTGAAATCTACAATGAAAAGATCAATGACCTCCTGGATAAGAGCAATCAGGGTTTAACTATAAGAGAAGATATCAAAGGAAATGTGCTGCTTGATGCAAGGGAAGCTGTCGTAGACAATGTTGATAAAGTTATGGAGAACATGATGCAGGGCAATAAGATCAGACGAGTTGCAGCTACTCGCATGAATGAGAGGTCATCTCGATCACACACACGATTTTCCGGATTATTCTGGAGTCGAAAGATGCCAATCAGAAAGATGGACCTGTACATATAAGCTACCTTAACTTAATGGACTTAGCTGGTTCTGAGAGAGTTTCTCTGACGAAAGCTGCTGGTGAGCGTCTTAAAGAGGGGGCTAACATAAACAAATCTTTGTCAGTATTAGGAAATGTGATAAGGCAACTAAGCGAGGGGAAGGAGTTTATCAGTTATCGCGATTCGAAATTGACTAGACTGCTCTCACAGGCTCTTGGCGGTAATGCCAAATCATTGATTATCGGGAATGTTACTTTAGCTGCAGAGGAGGAGACTAGATCTACACCAGAATTCGCCCAAAGCACTAAAACTGTCAAAAATAAAAACGAAAGTAAACATCTTGTCAGCTACAGAAGAGACACTTCAGGATATCAGAACTGAACTCGCGATCTCGAAACTCGCTCAAAAAGCAGGCAATTAAGCTAAAAGAGATGGATAAAAGCAAACAAGAGTATCTGCTCGAGATAGAAAGACTAATAACGGAAGTATCTATTGTCGGGCGCTTTCAAATGGGAGCCTCGGCATCAACACCGAAAAAAACATTAAGACTTCATACTTTTGGACACTATGGCAACGTATCACCTAAAAAGCATCCCTAGGGGATAATGCATTGAAAAATTTCCACCCAAAGAAGAATCATCCGGACGTGAAATGAGGCCTATTCAAAAGAGACATATGAGGAGGCACTAGCCGAAGCAGAATCCTGTGATAGCTGAAGACGTGCAAGTGTACTTAAAAAGACAACGCAAAGAGAACTGGAAGAATCTTTCAATGAGCTTAGAGAATTCACTAAACTAGATAATCAGCTGGAGATTTTGGACCTGAAGAAACAGCTCACAGAAGCCAATTCTAAAATCGATCGTTACAGTCAGGAACTCCGCCAAGTAACGGATGCGTACAACGAAGAAATAGAAAGAGTTCAAAAAAATTCTCAAAAAGCGCAAGAATTTCATCGACTTGCAATACAGACTCGATTTTCTGGAAAAAAATAATAAAAAGACTAAAAACATACGAGTCAGAAATAGAGATGCTGCGTACTCAACTGAAGAACCTAGGAAGATCAGAGAGCCCTAAACCATCTCTTGAAGCTCAAAATATTGAGTCAAAAAAGAAGGTTGCAGACTTAGAAGCTATGCTTGACGCTGAGTACGAAGATATGCAAGATTCTTTAAGTGCTGCTACACAAACTGATGTAACGATGTCACACATTGCTGAACTGCAAGATGAAATTGGCTTCCTAAAAGAACTTGAATCTAAACTGAGAAATGACGTAAAGAGTCTGATGGACGAGAGTAACCAACGTGAGGTCAACCACTCATTTAAAATCTCAGATATACGATGCCATAATGATTCTACTATAAAAGAGCTTCAGGATCAAATGGCTTGAACTGGAATGCCAAAACGAAATCTGGATTATGAAAAGTGCCCTCTTTATAACCCGTGAAATAGCCCTAGTTCTAATTAAATTTCAGTTCAAGCTTCCAAAATGACTTCCCGACAATATTAAAGTAGCCACAAAGATCAGACCAATGATCCACCGCGAAGTAGCCGATGGTCTAGAGCGTCTTTGGAACGTAAGAGTAACTGCATATGGGAAGCCGATGAAAGTAGTTCGCCATGGAGAGTTTATATATTCGACCATGTATTTAAGCAGGAATGTACAAATTCAGATGTATATGGATCTGTAGTAAAACCTTTAGTCGATTCCTTCATGGAAGGTTTCAATGCCACAATATTTGCATATGGCCAAACATCTTCTTGGCAAAACACACACCATTTTGGGCAATAAAACAGATCCTGGGCTTTTCCAATTAGTATCCAATCAGTTATTCCAGCATGTGGCAGACCAGGTTGATAAGAGGTACTTGATTAGATGCAGTTATATTGAAATCTACAATGAAAAGATCAATGACCTCCTGGATAAGAGCAATCAGGGTTTAACTATAAGAGAAGATATCAAAGGAAATGTGCTGCTTGATGCAAGGGAAGCTGTCGTAGACAATGTTGATAAAGTTATGGAGAACATGATGCAGGGCAATAAGATCAGACGAGTTGCAGCTACTCGCATGAATGAGAGGTCATCTCGATCACACACGATTTCCGGATTATTCTGGAGTCGAAAGATGCCAATCAGAAAGATGGACCTGTACATATAAGCTACCTTAACTTAATGGACTTAGCTGGTTCTGAGAGAGTTTCTCTGACGAAAGCTGCTGGTGAGCGTCTTAAAGAGGGGGCTAACATAAACAAATCTTTGTCAGTATTAGGAAATGTGATAAGGCAACTAAGCGAGGGGAAGGAGTTTATCAGTTATCGCGATTCGAAATTGACTAGACTGCTCTCACAGGCTCTTGGCGGTAATGCCAAATCATTGATTATCGGGAATGTTACTTTAGCTGCAGAGGAGGAGACTAGATCTACACCAGATTCGCCCAAAGCACTAAAACTGTCAAAAATAAAACGAAAGTAAAACATCTTGTCAGCTACAGAAGAGACACTTCAAGGATATCAGAACTTGACTCGCGATCTCGAAACTCGGCTCAAAAAGCAGGCAATTAAGCTAAAAGAGATGGATAAAAGCAAACAAGAGTAATCTGCTCGAGATAGAAAAGACTAAAAACGGAAGTATCTATTGTCGGGCGCTTTCAAATGGGAGCCTCGGCATCAACACACGAAAAAAACCATTAAGACGTCATACTTTTGGACACTATGGCAACGTATCACCTAAAAAAGCATCCCTAGGGTATATGCCATTGAAAACTTATCCACCCAAAGAAGAATCATCCGGACGTGAAATGAGCCTATTCAAGAAGAGACATATGAGGAGGCACTAGCCGAAGCAGAATCTGTGATAGCTGAAGACGTGCAAGTGTACTTAAAAGACCAACTCAAAGAACTGGAAAGAATCTTTCAATGAGCTTAGAGAATTCACTAAACTAGATAATCAGCTGGAGATTTTGGACCTGAAGAAACAGCTCACAGAAGCCAATTCTAAATTCGATCGTTACAGTCAGGAACTCCGCCAAGTAACGGATGCGTACAACGAAGAAATAGAAAGAGTTCAAAAAATTCTCAAAAAGCGCAAGAATTTCATCGACTTGCAATACAGACTCGATTTTTCTGGAAAAAAATAATAAAAAGACTAAAAACATACGAGTCAGAAATAGAGATGCTGCGTACTCAACTGAAGAACCTAGGAAGATCAGAGAGCCCTAAACCATCTCTTGAAGCTCAAAATATTGAGTCAAAAAAGAAGGTTGCAGACTTAGAAGCTATGCTTGACGCTGAGTACGAAGATATGCAACATTCTTTAAGTGCTGCTGCACAACTGATGTAACGATGTCACACATTGCTGAACTGCAAGATGAAATTGGCTTCCTAAAAGAACTTGAATCTAAACTGAGAAATGACGTAAAAGAGTCTGATGGACGAGGAGTAACCAACGTGAGGTCAAACCACTCATTTAAAATCTCAGATATACGATGCCATAATGATTCTACTATAAAAGAGCTTCAGGATCAAATGGCTGAACTGGAATGCCAAAACGAAATCTGGATTATGAAAAAGGACGACGAAATCAGAAAATTGCAACAACTAATTACAAACCCGAAGCAGGCTGGCACTTAACCAGAACCACCTGTGCAGGAGAGACGTTGCATTTTATAGGGAGCAAGTTGAGTTCTCCCAGAACATGTACAAAAATGAGATAATAGGTGGAGAGTTACGTATAAACCATAGAGAAAATCTTCAGGCAGTTAAACTAGAATATGTCTACCCTTGTTTAGTGTTTACGATTATTGCAGGGTTTGGACAAAGTTTAGGGCTGATCCCAGTGCTCACAGTGTACAATTTTCAGCTAATAAATCTTGAATTCTGAGGTAACAAAATCAACTAGAACTCTGAAAAAGTGATTTATCAGAAATCATGCCCTTACTTCCATGATAAGAGGGATTCGTAAAAATTATAAGCAGGTTGTGGCTTATTATCTAGTAAAAGATACAAGAATCCCAGATCTGAAAACGATTATTGTTCATGTGATCACAAACTAGCAGCGACTTGGTTGTGCGTTGTTGGCACTATGTTCTAATCAGGGCGCAACGATCAAAAACGCACTTGAGACGATTTGCTCGGAGAATACTCACGGATCAAGTCCATTCCATTTTATAGTCAATGCTCAGAGTATTTCTACAATTTGTGATGAACCACATTTATTCAAAAATGGATGAAATGCTCTTATTGACATTAATATGAAAGTGAAGAAGCTGCACAGATTGAACATGTCTAGAAATCATATAATGTTGATCAGCAAACAAGACCATACAAAAGAGCTATGTAAATTGAAACCCAGCCACTTTGATTTTATAGATTCGTTCAAGAATATAGAAATTAATCCTTTAATGATATCGTCGGATGATTCGAGCTTTCTCAGTTATGTGGTGGGGGGTCCCGTGACTTCTCATACGGTATGAGCACGTATACCTCAAACCACAGTTTAATTTAAACATCACAATTGTTGGTTTGTTGACTTTGCGGTCAAATTTGATCCGAGGATGTCAGTTGCGTGTACGATTTGAACTTCCTTCACAATGGATTTTTTCGTGTTGACGGATGAACAATACACTATAGACTACGCCGAGGACGACGCTGCTATCGATCAACCTGAACAACTTCCTATGGGCGACCCTCGCTATGCCTATGGAAAAAACATGTACAATTGGTCAAAACGAGCGCCTGCAACTGGTCGATTATTACGCATTTACCTGAACTAAAGTCGTGGCAACCAATTTGGAAAATAATAACCCTGTGACTCGAGAAATGCCGATAAATTTCTCCAATACGGTGAAATTTTCGAGACACTCATAGAGAACTGTCGAAATTGTTATATTTCGGTGAGTCCCCTACAAAATACGAGATGCTCGTGGGCCGATGTCCTTCCTGTGCCTACAAGAAACTAACCGAATAAGTATGGACTGATGAATGCAAAGACTCACCACTACCTGCTCAATGCTTTCGTCTATACGAACAGAAATATCACAGCAGATGACTGGTTCACGTCAGTAGAATTACATGTAGAATTGCGCATCAACCAACTGACCTATGTCGGCAGGAAGCGTAAAAATAAGTAACAAGTACCCCAACATGTAGTTCCAAATAAGAAGGAAACACAGCCAGGTACTTCTAAGTTTATGTTGTACAGCCTAGAGTAGTATCTTCCAAAACCAAATACACATGTTCTCGTATAGCAATCTATGCAGCATGATAACAAAAATAGTAGAGGAATCAAAGAAACCTGATAGATCCTATATTATTTTTATAACACTATGAAGGCGGGGGGTAATCATTAGATCGGAAGTGTGTAAATTACAATACTGGTTAGAGAACGAGAAGATGGCCTGTGTGCTATTTGGTATCCAACCAGCTTCTGTAAATTCCTTTTTTTTTTCAGTCTGGGACTGAAAGTTCCATTAGGCGACGAAATTTTATTGTTCCCCTGAGGCAAAACTCTAATTTAACTTCGTATGAGAGGACGTTTATCAGATCCAAGACTTCCTAGGGAGCTTCGTTCAGCCATGCAAAGAATCCTAAATTACCAACGACGAATAAAGTAAGCCGTCTACTTCTCAGCCCAGAGTTCTCGATCCTGATGCAGTTGTTAAAGAAAAAAAAACGACGTAGGTGTTACATGACAATACACAATGAAAAAATGTTCTACAATCTGTAATAAGTATGTAAAGTCACAGCGCACTTACATTGTTTCGTGAAAAGTGATAAATGTTAATTATTGTATGTTTCCTTATACGAGAAAGTATTTGTTTTTGTTGTAGAATATCAACACCAAATATGTTGTTAAATGGCCCATTTTGTTAGTTTTTTTATGTTCATATTACAGTTCAAGTTTCGAGGATTATATTTATTGCATTACTCATCTTCAATGGGGTATTTTCGTTTTTAGACAATAAACAGTTTCATGTAAGAGTGTCTTATGCGTACAAACCTGTTGTACACATGGCTAAAAACAGTAATGGCATTTCAGATGTTGATAGTAAGATCCGGTGGATACCTGTTTTGCGAGATTAGACGTGGGATTTCCAACACGAACACCATCTGTTTATTTGAAGCATTATAAAACTGTAATAATCAACATTCAGTTTTCCATTGACAATAATGAAGAATTATGAAGGCGATTCATGTAAGGCACTAGGTAACTTCGCGTTGCTTTAGAAGAGTATTGTCTGAATAGACAACAGGTTACCTTGTGATTCTTCACCGAGCTGCATTTTTCAAGTTGAAAAATCGGGTGCTGAAAGTGATGGATCTATAGATTTGTGAGAATTTGCTGCTGCTTCAACTTCTTTTTGTAATAACAATAACAGTCTATATGAAATTTAACAATTCTGTTTCTTCTTTGATTTTGAGTCACCCTGTAAATGTAGCTCTACTAAACTATCGGACCGCATTCATAGCCTACAAGAGAAAAAAATCTTCTATACTGGAAAGGAGGAAAAAAAGAATGTATCAACCTGATACATCTGCCCCTCTTTATAACCCGTGAAATAGCCCTAGTTCTAATTAAATTTCAGTTCAAGCTTCCAAAAATGACTTCCAACAATATTAAAGTAGCCACAAAGATCAGACCAATGATCCACCGCGAAGTAGCCGATGGTCTAGAGCGTCTTTGGAACGTAAGAGTAAACTGCATATGGGAAGCCGATGAAAGTAGTCGCCATGGAGAGGTTTATATATTCGACCATGTATTTAATCAGGAATGTACAAATTCAGATGTATATGGATCTGTAGTAAAACCTTTAGTCGATTCCTTCATGGAAGGTTTCAATGCCACAATATTTGCATATGGCCAAACATCTTCTGGCAAAACACACACCATTTTGGGCAATAAAACAGATCCTGGGCTTTTCCAATTAGTATCCAATCAGTTATTCCAGCATGTGGCAGACCAGGTTGATAAGAGGTACTTGATTAGATGCAGTTATATTGAAATCTACAATGAAAAGATCAATGACCTCCTGGATAGAGCAATCAGGGTTTAACTATGAGAAGATATCAAAGGAAATGTGCTGCTTGATGCAAGGGAAGCTGTCGTAGACAATGTTGATAAAGTTATGGAGAACATGATGCAGGGCAATAAGATCAGACGAGTTTGCAGCTACTCGCATGAATGAGAGGTCATCTCGATCACACACGATTTTCCGGATTATTCTGGAGTCGAAAGATGCCAATCAGAAAGATGGACCTGTACATATAAGCTACCTTAACTTAATGGACTTAGCTGGTTCTGAGAGAGTTTCTCTGACGAAAGCTGCTGGTGAGCGTCTTAAGAGGGGGCTAACATAAACAAATCTTTGTCAGTATTAGGAAATGTGATAAGGCAACTAAGCGAGGGGAAGGAGTTTATCAGTTATCGCGATTCGAAATTGACTAGACTGCTCTCACAGGCTCTTGGCGGTAATGCCAAATCATTGATTATCGGGAATGTTACTTTAGCTGCAGAGGAGGAGACCTAGATCTACACCAGAATTCGCCCAAAGCACTAAAACTGTCAAAAATAAAACGAAAGTAAACATCTTGTCAGCTACAGAAGAGGACACTTCAAGGATATCAGAACTTGACTCGCGATCTCGAAACTCGGCTCAAAAAGCAGGCAATTAAGCTAAAGAGATGGATAAAAGCAAACAAGAGTATCTGCTCGAGATAGAAAGACTAAAAACGGAAGTATCTATTGTCGGGCGCTTTCAAATGGGAGCCTCGGCATCAACACCGAAAAAAACATTAAGACGTCATACTTTTGGACACTATGGCAACGTATCACCTAAAAAAGCATCCCTAGGGTATATGCCATTGAAAAATTATCCACCAAAGAAGAATCATCCGGACGTGAAATGAGGCCTATTCAAGAAGAGACATATGAGTAGGCACTAGCCGAAGCAGAATCTGTGATAGCTGAAGACGTGCAAGTGTACTTAAAAGACAACGCAAAGAACTGGAAGAATCTTTCAATGAGCTTAGAGAATTCACTAAACTAGATAATCAGCTGGAGATTTGGACCTGAAGAAACAGCTCACAGAAGCCAATTCTAAAATCGATCGTTACAGTCAGGAACTCCGCCAAGTAACGGATGCGTACAAACGAAGAAATAGAAAGAGTTCAAAAAAAAATTCTCAAAAAGCGCAAGAATTTCATCGACTTGCAATACAGACTCGATTTTCTGGAAAAAATAATAAAAAGACTAAAAACATACGAGTCAGAAATAGAGATGCTGCGTACTCAACTGAAGAACCTAGGAAGATCAGAGAGCCTAAACCATCTCTTGAAGCTCAAATATTGAGTCAAAAAAGAAGGTTGCAGACTTAGAAGCTATGCTTGACGCTGAGTACGAAGATATGCAAGATTCTTTAAGTGCTGCTACACAAACTGATGTAACGATGTCACACATTGCTGAACTGCAAGATGAAATTGGCTTCCTAAAAGAACTTGAATCTAAACTGAGAAATGACGTAAAGAGTCTGATGGACGAGAGTAACCAACGTGAGGTCAACCACTCATTTAAAATCTCAGATATACGATGCCATAATGATTCTACTATAAAAGAGCTTCAGGATCAAATGGCTGAACTGGAATGCCAAAACGAAATCTGGATTATGAAAAGTGCCCTCTTTATAACCCGTGAAATAGCCCTAGTTCTAATTAAATTTCAGTTCAAGCTTCCAAAATGACTTCCGACAATATTAAAGTAGCCACAAAGATCAGACCAATGATCCACCGCGAAGTAGCCGATGGTCTAGAGCGTCTTTGGAACGTAAGAGTAAACTGCATATGGAAGCCGATGAAAGTAGTCGCCATGGAGAGGTTTATATATTCGACCATGTATTTAAGCAGGAATGTACAAATTCAGATTGTATATGGATCTGTAGTAAAACCTTTAGTCGATTCCTTCATGGAAGGTTTCAATGCCACAATATTTGCATATGGCCAAACATCTTCTGGCAAAACACACACCATTTTGGGCAATAAAAACAGATCCTGGGCTTTTCCAATTAGTATCCAATCAGTTATTCCAGCATGTGGCAGACCAGGTTGATAAGAGGTAATTGATTAGATGCAGTTATATTGAAATCTACAATGAAAAGATCAATGACCTCCTGGATAAGAGCAATCAGGGTTTTAACTATAAGAGAAGATATCAAAGGAAATGTGCTGCTTGATGCAAGGGAAGCTGTCGTAGACAATGTTGATAAAGTTATGGAGAACATGATGCAGGGCAATAAGATCAGACGAGTTGCAGCTACTCGCATGAATGAGAGGTCATCTCGATCACACACGATTTCCGGATTATTCTGGAGTCGAAAGATGCCAATCAGAAAGATGGACCTGGTACATATAAGCTACCTAACTTAATGGACTTAGCTGGTTCTGAGAGAGTTTCTCTGACGAAAGCTGCTGGTGAGCGTCTTAAAGAGGGGCTAACATAAACAAATCTTTGTCAGTATTAGGAAATGTGATAAGGCAAACCTAAGCGATGGGAAGGAGTTTTCAGTTATCGCGATTCGAAATTGACTAGACTGCTCTCACAGGCTCTTGGCGGTAAATGCCAAATCATTGATTATCGGGAATGTTACTTTAGCTGCAGAGGAGGAGACTAGATCTACACCAGAATTCGCCCAAAGCACTAAAACTGTCAAAAATAAAACGAAAGTAAACATCTTGTCAGCTACAGAAGAGACACTTCAAGGATATCAGAACTTGACTCGCGATCTCGAAACTCGGCTCAAAAAGCAGGCAATTAAGCTAAAAGAGATGGATAAAGCAAACAAGAGTATCTGCTCGAGATAGAAAGACTAAAACGGAAGTATCTATTGTCGGGCGCTTTCAAATGGGAGGAGCCTCGGCATCAACACCGAAAAAACATTAAGACGTCATACTTTTGGACACTATGGCAACGTATCACCTAAAAAGCATCCCTAGGGTATATGCCATTGAAAAATTATCCACCCAAGAAGAATCATCCGGACGTGAAATGAGGCCTATTCAAGAGAGACATATGAGGAGGCACTAGCCGAAGCAGAATCTGTGATAGCTGAAGACGTGCAAGTGTACTTAAAAGACAACTCAAAGAACTGGAAGAAATCTTTCAATGAGCTTAGAGAATTCACTAACTAGATAATCAGCTGGAGATTTTGGACCTGAAGAAACAGCTCACAGAAGCCAATTCTAAATTCGATCGTTACAGTCAGAACTCCGCCAAGTAACGGATGCGTACAACGAAGAAATAGAAAGAGTTCAAAAAAATTCTCAAAGAGCGCAAGAATTTCATCGACTTGCAATACAGACTTCGATTTTCTGGAAAAAAATAAGAAAAAGACTAAAAACAGTACAGTCAGAATAGAGATGCTGCGTACTCAACTGAAGAACCTAGGAAGATCAGAGAGCCCTAAACCATCTCTTTTGAAGCTCAAAATATTGAGGCAAAAAAGAAGGTTGCAGACTTAGAAGCTATGCTTGACGCTGAGTACGAAGATATGCACATTCTTTAAGTGCTGGCTGCACAAACTGAGTGTAACGATGTCACACATTGCTGAACTGCAGATGAAATTGGCTTCCTAAAAGAACTTGAATCTAAACTGAGAAATGACGTAAAGAGTCTGAATGACGAGAGTAGACCAACGGGAGGTCAACACTCAGTTTAAAATCTCGATAAAGATGCCATAGTGATTCTACTATAAAGAGCTTCAGATCAATGGCTGAACTGGAATGCCAAACGAAATCTGGATTTGAAAAAGGACGACGAAATACAGAAAATTGCAACAACTAATTACAAACCCGAAGCAGGCTGGCACTTAACCAGAACCACCTGTGCAGGAAGACGTTGCATTTTATAGGGAGCAAGTTGAGTTCTCCCAGAACATGTACAAAAATGAGATAATAGGTGGAGAGTTACGTATAAACCATAGAGAAAATCTTCAGGCAGTTAAACTAGAAATATGTCTACCCTTGTTTAGTGTTTACGATTATTGCAGGGTTTGGACAAAGTTTAGGGCTGATCCCAGTGCTCACAGTGTACAATTTTCAGCTAATAAATCTTGAATTCTGAGGTAACAAAATCAACTAGAACTCTGAAAAAGTGATTTATCAGAAATCATGCCCTTACTTCCATGATAAGAGGGATTCGTAAAAATTATAAGCAGGTTGTGGCTTATTATCTAGTAAAAGATACAAGAATCCCATCTGAAAACTGAAAACTGATGTAACGATGTCACACATTGCTGAACTGCAAGATGAAATTGGCTTCCTAAAAGAACTTGAATCTAAACTGAGAAATGACGTAAAGAGTCTGATGGACGAGAGTAACCAACGTGAGGTCAACCACTCATTTAAAATCTCAGATATACGATGCCATAATGATTCTATAAAAGAGCTTCAGGATCAAATGGCTGAACTGGAATGCCAAAACGAAATCTGGATTATGAAAAGTGCCCCTCTTTATAACCCGTGAAATAGCCCTAGTTCTAATTAAATTTCAGTTCAAGCTTCCAAAATGACTTCCGACAATATTAAAGTAGCCACAAAGATCAGACCAATGATCCACCGCGAAGTAGCCGATGGTCTAGAGCGTCTTTGGAACGTAAGAGTAAACTGCATATGGGAAGCCGATGAAAGTAGTCGCCATGGAGAGGTTTATATATTCGACCATGTATTTAAGCAGGAATGTACAAATTCAGATGTATATGGATCTGTAGTAAAACCTTTAGTCGATTCCTTCATGGAAGGTTTCAATGCCACAATATTTGCATATGGCCAAACATCTTCTGGCAAACACACACCATTTTGGGCAATAAAACAGATCCTGGGCTTTTCCAATTAGTATCCAATCAGTTATTCCAGCATGTGGCAGACCAGGTTGATAAGAGGTACTTGATTAGATGCAGTTATATTGAAATCTACAATGAAAAGATCAATGACCTCCTGGATAAGAGCAATCAGGGTTTAACTATAAGAGAAGATATCAAAGGAAATGTGCTGCTTGATGCAAGGGAAGCTGTCGTAGACAATGTTGATAAAGTTATGGAGAACATGATGCAGGGCAATAAGATCAGACGAGTTGCAGCTACTCGCATGAATGAGAGGTCATCTCGATCACACACGATTTTCCGGATTATTCTGGAGTCGAAAGATGCCAATCAGAAAGATGGACCTGTACATATAAGCTACCTTAACTTAATGGACTTAGCTGGTTCTGAGAGAGTTTCTCTGACGAAAGCTGCTGGTGAGCGTCTTAAAGAGGGGGCTAACATAAACAAATCTTTGTCAGTATTAGGAAATGTGATAAGGCAACTAAGCGAGGGGAAGGAGTTTATCAGTTATCGCGATTCGAAATTGACTAGACTGCTCTCACAGGCTCTTGGCGGTAATGCCAAATCATTGATTATCGGGAATGTTACTTTAGCTGCAGAGGAGGAGACTAGATCTACACCAGAATTCGCCCAAAGCACTAAAACTGTCAAAAATA